TGCCCAACCTTCCTTCCGAGGAGTGGCTGGTGGGTTTGAACTGCCAGCCTTCTGGTTAGCAGTCAAGTGCCTTAGGCACTATGCTACCAGAGCTCCTATAGAGAAGGCAACTCCAGTTTTTCCATAAGGCAAAGTCTTGTGTTCAGCTTGTACAATGTGTGGGGCAGTGTTGGCAGTGACCTTCTAAGCAAAGCCTTATCAGGTATATTTTCTCAGTAGTTAGGGATCACTATGGCGTTACTTTTTAATCATACTCATTTGCCTTTGTTGTTGTTGTTATGTGTCGTTGAGTCAGACCCGACTCATAGCGACCCTTCCTTGGGTTTCTGAGGCAGTATCACTACATTTGCCTTACTCACCAGTAACTACTGTCAAGAGACTACTGCTTCACTGCATTAGAAGGGGAAATATTGCAAGGGAGTTAATATTTGCTAAAGACACTGTGGGCCCTCACCAGCAATCTATTCAAATACTGTTCTCTCTTTTTCTGTCCCTAGGAGTACACCATTGATGTATTCTTTCGCCAGACCTGGCATGATGAGAGACTGAAATTTGATGGACCCATGAAGATCCTGCCACTCAATAATCTCCTGGCTAGTAAGATCTGGACGCCTGACACCTTCTTCCACAATGGAAAGAAATCCGTGGCCCATAACATGACCACACCTAACAAGCTGCTCAGACTGGTGGACAATGGGACCCTTCTTTACACAATGAGGTCAGAGAGTGGTGCCCTTATCCAGGAGGGAGGGCCAAGGTTACTGGGTAGGGGAGACTTGGGTTGGAAGTGGCGTGTTTTAGAGAATCTATTGAAAATTCTGTCACATTTACAGATTAGTAATGCACATACAAGTGTCTGCCTTCTAACGTATTCACATGCATACACACTTAGAGGCATGTACTATAGATGCACATATCAATGGAGTTGCATATATATATACATTCAGAGACACATGGAGATGTGTGCATAGACAGGTTCATGATGTGTAAATGTATACACAGTCAGAGACACACATAGACTACCACACAGGCACCTACATATTCAAGGACATTTAAATCCACAAACTCACAAAACCATGTACACAGACATGAACACTGTGTCAGTCAGAGTAGGCTAGGTTCAACTGTTGCAACAAACAACTTCTATGATACAGAGGTGTGAGGATCAAATGAGATACCAGATAGCTTCTAAAGCATGTAGGATACACGCGCACACACACACATCACATAGATATTATGCTATATTGCCTAGGAATGCTGACGAGTTTGATGGAAGTCAAGTTTACACCAAATATATACATTTTAGTACCAAG